TTATAATAAAAAATATATTTAATATATCAAATTAGAAAGGTCCTCTATTAAAAAAGAACTTTTTTAACATGTGCATCTTTTCATCATTAATTTGTATGAAAAAAATAAAAATTGACTATAGTTTTATTAATTATCTAATTAAAATATTTCATGTGGGATTGATATTAAAAATAAAATTGACCTCCATAATTTTTTATATAAATTGTGAAATGATATGATAAATATATGGTCAATATATACCCTAAAACCCTATTAAAGAAACTCATTAAAATAATCTTAATAACTTTTTAAGCTAACTTTATGAACACTTAAAATTTAACATTAAGTTATCAATAATAATGAATCTTTATATTTACATTTCTAGTCAATATAAAATTTAAAGCATCACATGGAGCTCTGATTTCAGAGTGTTTTATCTCTCGGAAGCAGTTTAACTCTCTTTTACTCAGGAGGGAGGCTTTACTCTTGTTTGAAGGTCTCTCAGCTAACCTCTAACCTTATGGGATAGTATCCTCGCTCGCTAGATTTGGCCTCTCAGTTTCATTTCTATGAGTGAATTTAGCCTCTACCACCCGGCTTGTGAGAGGAGCTCTGTTTTTGGAGTGCTCTATCTCTTGAAACCAATTTAATTAGTCTCTTGACTCATGAGGAAATATTTTAAATAATTCCAAGTGGGACTTGGTGTCAATTTGATTTGATTTTTGGTTAATTAAGAAATTTTTATTAATGATTTGTTTTGAAACCGAATTACATTATTAGTTCAGAAATTTGATTGGGTTAAATAAAAAATTTTGGTAAATTCAGTTTCGTTTTTTAGCCAAATGTAAAATTCAATTTAGTTATCTAAATGAGTTTGTAGTTTTACTGTTAATATTGTAAGATTAGGATAATTGAATGTGTGACAACTCTTGCACCAATATTAATTAGAGTGTCTTTTCAATCATTTAATGGTTAATTTTATACAATCTACATTACACAAAACATTTCTATATCTAAATATATTCACATGGTTTGCAAAAATTTCAAGTAAAATTCCACAACGGTTTTTAGTTGAATTATTTTAGTTACTAATATTTTAGTTA